TTTTTTTTCAAATGATAGGTACCGACGTGAGGTTTTTTTTGACACAAACAAGGTTCACAAATACCATTCAAAGTTATTAGCTTCGGCTGATATACAAAAACTACCCGCTTTTCGGTTTCCAAAAAATTGCTAGGCAGTGTTTGTCTTTTACTGCTTTAGTTTTTTGCATTTCGTGCGATATTTAGATCGATTAAATCCTTCGCTATCAATTCTATGCATTTCTTTTGGTGTGTTACTACAAAAAGAAGCCTAATGGCGTCAAGTCCGGCGATCATGAAGCTCAAAAGGTCGGCTCACTTCTTCCAGTTCACGAGTCATCGTTCGGAAATACAAAGAGGTTTCATTAGCTTCGTGAATATCGAACTTGGCACCATTAGGCTTCTTTTTGTAGTGGCATACCAAAAGAAATGTATAGAATTGATAGCAAAGGATCTAATCAATCTAAATATCGCACGAAATGCAAGAAACTAAAGCATTAAAAGTCAAACACTGCCTAGTGATTTTTTGAAAACAGAAAAGTGGGTGGGTTTTACATATCAGCCGAAACTAATAACTTTAAACGGTGGTATTTGTGAACCTTGTCTGTATCAAAAAAAACTTTACATCGGTACTTATCATTTGACAAAAAAATCAGTTGATTACACTTGATAAATAATGGAGATACTTAAATTTACTTTTCTCGGGGATTTTTGGTACACCTTGTATAAATATATATATACCCTAGTGAATGTACTGAGCTAAGGGTACCTGAAAAAGTACTCTGCTACTAGTATGTTACAGGAACTTTCAAGTACCGTAATACCTTAAAGTACTTTTAGGCACGTATAAAGTACTCGAGCGGGTACCCTGCTGGAAAACATCTAGTAAATGGATACTTGAAGATTCTGATCAAATACTCAACTGGGTACTATTGCACAGTATTGTTAAGCACCTTATCGCCAAAATTACAGTATGTTCAGGATCGAACCTAACCTTTGACTTTTTTCATTTCTATTTCTCTCAAAGCTATTTATTATATTTTTCCAATTTTATTTTATTGAATTTTTCAAATCTTGAAAATTCAAGCAGGTCAAATTTCTGTATCTGACCAGACTTGAATTGACCAGATCTCCATGAGGCCACTTCATGGTAGTCCTCTCTCAATTTAAAATTGAGATTGGCATATCCTTGACTAATAAATAGTCAGGAAATGATCTAGAAAAATTTCAATGAAGAAAAAATTTTAGTTTCTTAAGTTTTGTAGAATTGTTTATATGGAGCCGTGTGTGCAAAAGAAAACGGTGAATGAACAGTCGCTGCACTGAATGCGGCCAACTTAGAGTGTCCTGTAGAGCTTTTCTTAGTAAAATTACATATGTGAGTACTCGTACAAGTACTTGTTTAGTTGGCATACTGTTGTGGATACCCAATGCAGTACCTGCATCAGTATAATTACTAAGAATTTTCGAAGTATCTATGTCAGGTACCCTGTTGAGGCTTTCTCAGTAAAAAGATATAATTTACAATTATAAAATGTATAAATAACAATAAAATAATAGATATACAATAATGTATGTCGCACTGACATTTCGAACATAACACGTTGTTCTTTAGAGTTAAATTTGCATTTAAATGGTACTGAAACACATCTTTGACCTTTTTCTTTTTTTCTTCGTTGTTTTGTTATCGTTCTTATCATATATATTCTACACCGGTACGGACGATGAAAAACAAAAACTTTCACACACCAGTAGCACTGTTTTGTCCGTGCTAGTATAGAATATATATAATAAGAACGAGAACAAAACAATGACGAAGAAAAGAAAAAAGTCAAAGATATATTTCAGTACCATTTAAGAACAAATTTAACTTTGGAGAACAACGTGTCACGTTCGAAATGTCAGTGCAACATAACATCGTTGTATATTTATTATTTTATCTTTACTTTTATTTTATTAGTGTTTACTCATTTCATAATTGTATATTATATCTTATATACAAGTATATCATATTTCATTCATTTTATATATACCGGGTGACCCAAAAGTAAGGAAAAATAATGGGCATCTAATAATAACTGATGAAAAACTGTTAATGATATTTTTCATACTTTTTATTGATGTAGAGAGCTAAAACTTTCAGAAATAAAAGGTGTTAATTAAATATATATATAATAAAAATTTCAGTTCTTTACATCAATAAAAAGTATGAAAAATATCATTAACAGTTTTTCATCAGTTATTATGGGATACCCATTATTTTTCCTTACTTTTGGGTCACCCGGTATATATATTTATATATTGTATAGGGTGTGCAGTAAGTAATGATATAGACACACTAAAAGTTGAATATTTCCATTATGGCTCGACCAAATGAGCTCATTTCTTTATCAAGGATAGGGGCATGTTTACACTCCAAATTCATGTGGACAAGATCAGTGAGAACCTTTGTTAAATACCACTATTGATCTCAACAAGAAAATTTTACTTGTTCATAGGTAGGAAAAAAACGATAGATAGGATTGCGCTAAAGTCACTTTATCAGAGAAGAAAATTGAATATCTCCGTTACGACTCGAGCAAACGAGTTGATTTTCTTACCAAAGATAGAGACATGTTCACACTCCAAATCCGTATGGACGAGATTAGTGGGAACCTATGGTGAGCATATTGTTTTCTTTTCCTGTCTGTGAAGAAGTAAAATTTTCTTATTGAGGTCAATAGTGGTATTTAACAAAGGTTCTCACTGACCTTGTCTGTATGAATTTGGAGTGTGAACATGCCTCTATCCTTGGTAAAAAAAATGAGCCCGTTTAGTCGAGCCATAATGGAGATATTCAATTTTTAGTGTGTCTGTTTCATGACTTACTGGACACCGTATATTCTATATATTTGATAATTTTGTAAATAGTAATAATAATTTAAAATTAATAGATAATAAACAAGAATAATAATTTATATAACACACTTAACTAATATTGAACCAAGGAAGAGCGGACAATTTTAACATCGTATGATATCCATCGTCTAAGAAGACAACAGAACACTGAGTATTTCTTTTGGGTTCTGCATGTCATATCGTAGATAACATGCGGGATTGACAGGGTTAAGGTACCTACATCATGTTACATATTCGAACCCCGTAACAATCGTATTGAAAGCGTCATAGAGTCCAATGGAAAAAAGCTTGTTTGCCCAGCCCTTTTGGAGCTGAAATATGGAACTCACATATGTTCTTTAGTCTACCTAAACTAATATCATATACATAAAGTGAGAAATCTCTCGTACACCATCGTTGCTTTACAAGATTATTGATCGACAGAATAAAGATCTATTTTATTTATTTCTATACTTAATTAAATAGCAAACAAGGGTGTTGTAAATATCTTTTTTTGGATCCCGTTACTAATGTCTTTACTGAGAGAGAGATGAGGGAAGCTGCTAAAACTCTGTATTAAAATTTTCACTCACTATTTTCTTTCACAAGCATATGTAAGCTTCAGAAAATATCTTCCTTAAATATTGACACATACTCCTCACTCCTATCTGTAGCCGGCCTTTTATTTTCATCACTGACAAGCAAGAAAAATGTGGATGTTTTTGTCTTAACATTGTGTTGTACTTCACTAACGGCAATGTGGTTGATAATTATACTTTATACATTATTTCTATACGTTATTTATCGTCTCATCAAATTCTGGATCATTAATCCATGGCGAGTTCAACAAGATTTTTTCAATCAAGGAATTCCTGGACGATATACGCCTATAGTTGGTGATGTGTTACGTCATCGTCGAGCTTATCTCGCTGATAGGCCATTCAGTTATGTGGAAGAGACAAGTGCTGAATTTGGTGACTACTATCATACATCATTTGGTCCATTTCCTTGTCTGAATATAAGTGACCCAGTACTAATCGAAAGTATTTTAAAAACAAATACTCGATTCTACCACAAATCTGAACTTGCCAGAGCAATCGCTGCAACCGTACTCGGCTATGAAAATATTGTATTGGTCGAAGATGAAAATCATACAAGACATCGACGATTACTTAATCCAATTTTTCAACAACAAAATGTCAATTCAATGATACCATTAATGGTGGATTTAACATCGAGTTTTTTGACAAAATGGCAGATCGATACAAATGAGAAAACTTATCCATTGATATTAGACGTATCGAAAGAAATGTCAAATCTTGCATTGGATATAATAACCGGTTGTGTATTTGGTGTTGAAGCAATGAAAGATATACATATTCATGAAACAATTTATCAAAGTATTAAAATAGCGTCTGATGAAATAGAAAAACGAATCCACAATATGATTATTATTATTCCTATACTTAATCAATTACCAATATTAGGAAAAAGACGTATTGATAAGTGCAGACAAGATATAAAAAACATTGTTCTACAAATGATAAATCAGCGAAAACAGGGTTTAACAAAAGCAACTTGTAAAGGTGTGTCATTGTTTAGGTTTTTCTTAAATCTTAACTGGATTTCAATAATGTTGATTAGGGCACGATTTACTAGATCTACTTTTGACAGCACATGGCGACAATAAAGATCAAGAATTTACCGATAACGAGATCTCAGATGAAGCACTTACGTTTGGTAAGTACTTGTGAAATACATTCAATTCTGTGTTTCCAGTGAACAACAAATTGGTCCTCACTTTTTCGAAAATAGAATTTGTTTATTTCGACTCTAACCTCATAGCTAAGATACATGTACAGTTGACTACATCGTTACAAGTTGGGGTGAGTGTGAGGAGTGGAATATGCGTGTGGGTGTTGAGGAAAACGAAGATTCTAATCCACATCCACACTCTAGTTTTTTCTCGTTTTCATTTGTCCTATCAATACATGAAGGACGAAGCATCTTGTTCAATCGTAGTGGCTACTTCTTTTATCTCGAGGATACGTTAGAAACCGTCACAAAGATAGTTTGATTTAGTAGACAGGCATGAAAACACTCTCATATTTTGGATGTGGTTCTCTTTAGTGTCGTCTCATACTCACACCCTATAGTGTCGTTCAAATGAAGAATAACTACTATGAATAACAGATAATCATTGTTTTTAATATAAGCATTATACGTGTTTGATTTATCTCTAGTACTTGCGGGACATGAAACAACGGCAACTTTAATGACTTGGGTACTGTACAATCTTGTCACAAACCCCGATGTATATCAACAGTGTCAGGATGAAGTCGACTCAGTTTTCAGTGACAATGAGGAACTAACAACATCGACAATCTCACTACTAACATATATGGAAGCTGTATTGAAAGAGACGTTACGATATCATCAGCCTGCACCTGTATTATTTAGAACAGCAACTACTGACAATACAATTGTAGCTAGTGATGGTAAACAGATTCGTATCCGAAAAGGAACTGATATTGCCATAAATTTGAATATTATGAATAAGTAATTTGAAAAAAAAACAAAATCTTACTGAAACTTTTTTCTTTGGTTCAATATGCATGCATATATATATATATGATGATAATTTTTCTTTACATAGTTCAGAAAAGTATTGGTATGAACCGAAAAAATTCTACCCATCAAGATTTCTTGAGCGTCACTCGGGCGTAATGTTTCCATTTGGACTTGGACCACGTACATGCATTGGACAGAATTTTGCTATGCTAGAAGCTACCATTATATTGGCAATGGTGCTACATCGTTTTCGTTTTGAATTGGTACCCGGTCAAAAAGTTGTCCTAGGTACAGCAGGTGTCATCAGGTCTGCGTATGCTTCTATTTCTGGCAATCTTAAGATTTATAGATCGATTGCTTAATTTATTTTAGACCTAAATATGGCTTATCAATGCGTATCTGGCCACGATAAATGATACTACGTGTGTGGTAATTGCTACATACTACATCGTTCATCAAATTCTGCGCTTTAACAATAAAAAGAGCTTTTTTTTTAAAATAATTCATTCCGATTGACACGTTTTTAACTTTTGTTTGTGCATTTATTGTCTAAATTAAAATCATATTAAGATGAAATCGATCCTAAAAATATCAGAAAAGCTATGGAAAAAAATGTAACCAAGTTGGATATGATTATCTTTTCATGTTCAGAAACGGTAGTTGATAATTAGTTGTCATGGACGTGCAAAAATGTAACAGATGGATCCAGTAAAATGGGACACTTTTCTAAAAAATTCTCTTCAACATTGTTACATGCCTGAATGTTCCCAACTCCACTCATTTGATTGAAAATTTCGTATTATACAAAATTTCCTACAAAATTTTCTCATCGAGCAGTTTGATTAGAAAATCCTATCATTGAGACCCATACGCACATTCTCATCAAGTAAAAGTCAGAGTTTTCAACCTGATGGATTTCAATTAATTGAGCAATAATCAGTTAGTTTTGATTTACTAGATCTCATTTGATTTTAATACTAGAAAATGAAGTTCGCGTAGACGTTGATTGAGCCTATCGTTGATTATTAAGAGACGTTCTATGAGACGACCAAACATCGTGGCGGAAGCTAAATCTTTTTTCGATTTTAACTGTACAGCTGGAAAGAGCGTTCATTTTTATCAATAGATCCAAATTTTTTCGAGTTCAAAATCTTTCTAAAAACTTTTTAGTCCGGACAGACTTTTCTGCCCTCTAAATCATGATATTTTTTTTTCAAAAATTCATTGTGGCTTGTATTTGAACGTTTTCTCAAAAATGACTAAAGCAATCAAGCTCGTTCAAGTTTCATTTAATAGCTCTTGATACACACTACAAAATAGTATGAATTATGAAAAATATTTGTCTTTGAAGTTTGGAGCTTCGTATTCGTGAAGGTAAAAAAACGTGGAAAAATTGGAACTAAAAATACCATATTTTTCCTAGTTTTAACCCTCTTGTAGTTTCACTTATCAAGCTACCAAAAAGTTTTTTATCACATCTTGCAGAGCTTTTTAAGCTGCATTTGACCATATAAAATTAAAGGTTTAAAAAAACTGGCAACATCTCCAAAAATGGCTAACACTAGGAGCTCTATAATGGTCCTAAAAAATGAACACCAAAATAATGATCGCAGAGAATACTTGATAAATCGTTACGAAAATAGTATTCTTATGATCTGATCATGAGCACTTCATGCTTTATAGGTTTTTAGTCTATTGCTATGCCTTTAAGTTATATATTTCTGATCTATCGATAACACAATCATATGCATCGTATACAAGAGTCAGCCTGCATAAATGACAGCCGACTTCCACAGAACCTGCTCAATGGAAATCGTCATATGTCACTCAATTTGGTGTACGTTGTAGAGGGATCGACTTCAAGAATGCTAATGTACTTATTGCATAAAGATGAATTCGAATGAGCGAAGTGTTGTTAAGTTGATCAATAATACCAGGTACCCAACAAAATAATCATTTTCGGTGTTTTGTATACATATATATCTCATGAAAGAAGAGCTATTAAATGAAACTTGAACGAACTCGATTGCTTTAGCCATTTTTGGGAAAATGTTCAAAATACAAACCACAATGAATTTTTGAAAAAAAAATGTCATGATTTAGAGGGCGAAAAAAGTCTGTCTAGACTAAAAACTTTTTAGAAAGATTTTGAAATCGAAAAAATTTGAATCTATCGATAAAAATGAATGCTCTTTCCAGCTATATAGTTAAAATTGGAAAAAATTTTAGCTCCCGCTGGCATCCAGAAAAACGTTCAGTATTTTCGTGGAATTTTTCTTAATATCTACTTAGGTCAGTCCAAAAGTAATGGCGGAGGTATATCAATTTCTTATAGAAAACTCTGAGAAACTTTTTTTTTCATACAGTCTGATAGAGAAAAGAAAGCTCTATTTTTCTATGCTATTTG